TTTGTCTTCCTATGATTTCATTTTATCTATCTTTCTCTAATGAATAAAACTCGATTGCAATCTATGTTTTTTTCACGAGCATCATGAACTATTCAGAATATTTAACTTTCATTAAATGACATAGCTAAAAGATGAAGAATATGGTAGGTAAACGTGATTACTTAAGACTATATTCTCAAACAAAATATAAGGTCTCATTAGTTATATAGAACATATCAATGATTGTGCATTTTTTTCCATTCATTATATCAAGTTGAACGAGTAGCCATATTTATATATTTGTGAGATGCCATTTCTTGTATTCGAATATAGTGTTTATAATAGAAATGTAAAACCACGTGTTTTCGTACATCCTATTCTATACTATCAAAATGTATCTAAATGTTATAACGACAAAATTCTTTCGAATGATATTGATTATGATTGATAATAAAGTCCATATTTTTGGTTGAGTAAAGAAAGTTTTAGTTTCTTGTAATGTATTGACATCAAAGATATTATTCTTCAGTATCACGGTCTTTCATTGTCACTATCAAAGAACAGACAAAGTAAAACAAACAATAAGTATTTAAAAGAATATCTGTACATACATTGCTTCATCATATTATTGTTAATCGTTGTATCATCGCTAGGATTCCGATTCCTCGATATCAATACGTTAGAAATGAATAATAAAAGAGTATCAAGAAAGAGAAACTACCTTTTCGCTAACTTTTAAATGGTGTATTTTAAAAAATCATAATAAAATTTTCTTTTTTCTTATTCAACAAACAATACCTATCAATAATAAAGAAAAATAAGAAGCAACAAGTCCCAGGAGAAAAAGTAAAAATTCTGTATTTCAAGGATATAACAAATCTATCCTCGTATTCGTCAACTACTTGTTTGAAAGCGAAATTTTTATTTTATTTTGCAAAGTATGAAACAATTTATTTGTTGAAAATAGGAGATATTCTATAAATTTTGCTTTTAATTCATACACCTGTCTCTTATTGTAAACACGTACAGTTCTCAAGAAAACATATAATGATAAATTACTAGTGACATCTAAAATAAATCAAAATCTATTGGAGCATGTTTTAATTAACTGTTTATCAAGTAAATCATGAAATAAACAAAAAAAGAAGCAATAGTAAATAATAAAATCAAGCATTGTCGAGAAGAACAAAAAAAAGGAACAATCGATTAATCCCAACTATTGTCTTATTATTTAAATTCAAACCCAATTATTTTTTTTTTTGATCTGATTCATTTATAAAAAGACAAAACTCATGTCGTTCGACGATCCATTCAATACTAATAATGTACCTATTGATAATAATGAATCAAATAATTTTTATAATTTCAATGAAGAAGAAGATCCAGCTGCTGAATTTCTTCAACGAGAAAAACAAGAATTAGGTGATATAACAGGTAATGATGATATGAATTCATTTGATGATCCATTTAATACAAATGCTAATCATTTAACAAACGGTATATATCAAAAATGTATTCTTTTTTGTGCTATGATCGTGTATTCGATAAATTTTATTTTGTCTAGGTACATATTCACCAAGTTTTGGTAGTGATAATTTACAAATGGTATCAAATACGGATGCAACTCAATATGAAGCATTATCACAATTAAATGAACCGGAAAAAATTCAAAAATGGAAAGAAGAATTTTCAGCACGTATTAATAAAAAAGATGTTGAAGAAGAAATAAAATGTAAAGATATGCGTGAACAAGCAAAAAAAGAATTAGATGATTTTTATAAACAACGTCTTGAACAAATGGAACGTATTAAAGAACAAAATCGTTTAAATAATCGTACATTAGAAGATGATTTATTTAATAATGATAATAATTCATTAACAACATCAAATGGTAAATTTAATGATTGGGATAAAATAACAAGTTTATGTGAATTTAATCCGAAAAATAATCGTTCACAAAAAGATTTAACACGTTATAGAAGTATTCTACTTCAATTAAAACAACAACAACAACAACAGCAAACAAGTGGAAAATAAATTTTCATATGAAATTATTTCAATTCAAAACAAAAAAAAAACAAAAAATTACAAATGATATGAACTTTTTCTTTATTTATCTATATCTATATATGCATATAATTGTGGCTTGATCATATGTCATCGTCGTTGTCTGTGTTTGATAGTACTTTTTTTCATTCCACTATAAGAAAAAAATAATTAAACCGGACACGTCGTATCTGATTTATTTATAACCTCAGATTGTCTGTACTTCTTCTCAATGTACACTCGCATATAAAATTTTTTTTTGTATGATCTGTGTTTTTTTCTCACAATTTTAGTTGCGCCTTGATTTTTCTATGTTGTTCGTTATTGTTATTTGTTGTTACATTGCTTATTCTAACCAAAAATTCGATGTGTTTAAAATTTTTCTTTTTCTCTTCCCCGAAATATACTCAGAATTATTTATTCAATTTTTCAGATATTTGATCATAATGAGTGTCACTAATCTAGTCCGATATTGTTCGTTGACCTCAAAATTGAGTTATTTTACAACAAGATCTTTATTATCCGTAGAATCTATTAATTGTACGTCAAGAAAACATATAACAAAGTATGAGTTATAAATACAGAAAATTATACTTCATTCTATATAGGTGATGCTCGACGATATGCTGGTCATGCTCATTGGCAAAATATTGCAAAAACAAAAGCCGCCAATGATCAAATGAAAGGACGTGTCATAGGAAAACTAGCTTCTAAAATTGTTACAGCTATTCGACGTATGTACTGAAACTTTAAAATTAATCTTGGATTTTTTGAGCTAATAAAATGTACACTTGAGCTGCATGAAAAACCTCAAATTGATAATTATATCTTTAGGCCTTCTTTCTAAAGTTGTAGCTGTTTTACTGAAATTTTAACTATTACATGAAATCCATCAATAAATCGAATGATGATATTTAAATCTTATATGTTGTTCACAGATAGACCTTGGTGTAACTAGAATACTCGAAAAACTTCAGTTTAAAAGAATATTTTTCTCATGAGATATTCATATTTCAAAATTTGCTCATAAACTATCAACTATGAAAGGATCTCATTCTTTGTAACTTGAATCTTTCTTGAAAAGAACATTCTTGTGAAATGAAATTTTCGATACATTCTGTTTATACGTAGATCTGTGGACAAAATTCGATCATTCGATTTTGTTGATATTGACTGTGCCACAACTTAGAAATTCTGTAAAATGATTATAAATTAAGAAAGGACCTAGGATATTTATCACTCAGAATGATTTCTCCGTACACTGATGATCATCCAAAAGTCTAACAAAATAAATATATGCGCTTGTTGTTGTAGTGTCCTGCAATTAGGTCAGACACTCGACTAGACTCAGAACGTGGTACAGGATACAAACTCACCGAGTCAGTGGGAATCCGATTCAGAAAAGTCATGCCCATGCAGAACACTAATCATAGAACTTTCTTTCATTGTAAAATTTAAATTTTGTCTATTTCTCATATTGTTATTTTAGAAAATGGTAATGTCACAGATCCACAATACAATGCTGTATTGCGTGCAACACTTGATGAATGTCGTAAAAATAATATGCCTAAAGAAACAATTGATCGAGCTATTAAACGAGCTGTAAGTCATTATTTGTTTTTCTCAGATTGATTTGATTAATGACAAAAAGAAATTTTTGTTTTTAGATAGCTCAAAAAGATAATACAAAACAAGCACTCTTTGAATTTGTTGGTCCTGGTCGATCATTTTGTCTTATTGAAGTTATGACCGATAATCCAAAACGTACTTTCAATTATCTCAATAAAAATGCAGTTAAAATTGGGTAAATTATTTTGATTAAATAAATAAATAAACTATGATAAATTCTATGAAAAGTATTCCAGAAATAGCTAAAAGTGGACAAATTGCAGAATATTTTGATCAACGTGGTTATGCATGTATTGAAAAATCAAATATAACTGAAGAAAAAGCAACCGAATTAGCAATTGAAATTAATGCTGAAGAAGTTATCGAATCAATTGATGATGATGGTGAACGAACAGTATGGAAAGTAAGTTTTATTATTTTTTTTTTGTTTTCGATTTAAAAATCTTAAAATTTTTATTATAAACGATTAATTTTAGTTTCTTGGTCCACCAACATTTTACGGTCAAATGAAAGTTAATTTAACTCAACGTGGTTATAATGTAACTTCTGATGGTTCAGAATTTATTCCAAAAGTGACTGTACCATTAAACGAACGTGATAAAGCATTATTAAAACAAATTATAGCTATGTTCGAAGATCTCGAACAAGTAGAAGGTGTTCATACGAATGCTACATAAAAATAGTTTATTAAATAAAATTGTTCTTTTTTTAAGAAAAAGAAAACATCGTTGAATACAACAAATAATTCTTAATTTTTACAAGAAAAATTCAAAGGATCTTGTTGGATTTAATGACTTCTCTTGAATCAGCATACCACCTATGTGATTTTCTAGAATAGTTTATGATACACTCCTGGGCAAAAGTCTTTCCCATTCCCTCCTTTTTCACCACAATTTTTTCTACTATTGTAAGAACAAAACATGATGTTGTTCGGATTGATCAAGAGTTATCAGAAGTTCTCTTTTATATGGCCCGAACAATACCGTGTTTGATCCTTATAGTAATAGAGTAAACTTTGTTGAAAAAGGAGAGGGAGGAAAAGACTTTTACCCAGGGGTGTATATAGAATGCCATATAAGAAAATAAGCTCTGCTCAAATTTTGATGCATTGAAAGTTCATATACTGATTAATACCCTTCAGGAACATATACGGTACTAAAAAAGATTATAGCCCTAAGATATTCTAAAATAAACTTACGCAAACTTTGTTTTCTAGCTCGATTTCATACAGTTATAGGTGCTCTTTAATTTTCTATAAACAATGCTTTTCATCGTTGCCTTGTTAATCCTTAAAAATAGTCCATTTTCTTACGTCTCTATTAGTTCTTAACTATATGATATTTCAGTTTGCTCAACTATGTGTCTCGAAACAAGTCAGTACCAAAGTGAAACTTCCTAAAAAAATTGCAAACTATTGAGCTGTATATACTTCAGAGATATAACCTTTTGAAACAACAGAAAGTCATAGTCGACTGGTAAGATTGTCTCCTTGAATAAACTATTTTCGTGTAGGAAAAGGCCAATATATTTACAATATTTTAACACTATTCAATGGTCTAATGAAACTTTTTTTTTGACCTCCAAACCTTAGAGAAGGGTACGAAGATGCGAAACAAATTAGTTTTGCAATAAATATAAGATATATATAGATTCTTCTAGAGAGTTTCATGCATAAAATCAAACTAGAATACTCTGGATAAAAATTTGAAAAAGAAATAATGATAACAGATTTCCTTCCTGCAACCATACCATATTTCTATCCCTCCCTTCCGAGATTGAGAGACCAAAAAACTATTTTCCGTTTATTAAGGAGTTATTTATATCAGCTCATCAGGGATGCAACGCTGATTATTGGTGCATAGAAATGTTTCATAAAATGATTGAATAGTGTTAAACTATCATCAATATACCGATCTCTTCATATAGAAAAATAGAATTTTCTAAGAGACAATTTTGTAAGTTCCGCATAAGTCTCTTCTATTGCAAAAGATGTTATGTTGGAAACACATAGAGCTTGTTAGTTTGCGCATTTTTAGTAAGTTTCACGTCAATACTCACCTGTTCTATGGGTCAAAGATGAATACAGTGAAATATAATATAGTTCAGAAATGGCTCAGGCCTCAGAAAAGAAACCATTTATAAGTATGAATAATGTAATGATAAACACGATTGATTCTGGAAAATTGAAGAGCACGTTAAATGTATCGAAATGCGTTTTGAAAGCAACATTTGTATAAGTTTATCTTAGAATATCTTAAGGCCACAATGTCTTTGAGTACTATATACATACATATATATATAGGGTGTCCAGTAAATCACGAAACAATGAAGAAACTTTTTTTTTTAAGACTTAATGGTTACATTATGATATAATCTTATGTGACGTAAGATAGTAGACTTACACTAAGATCTACTATTTTAATAATCACATAAGGTTATATCATAATGAAACCCTAAACTTGTAAATAAAAAAGGTTTTTATCTTATTTCGTGATTTACTGGACACTCTGTATATTGCTCAAGGATTATAATCAGTATATAAGTCTTCAGCACATCAGAGTTTGAGTAAAACATGATTTGTTATGTACTATTCGACTCACCACAAATTACTCTATGAAACCACATATATGAATTCTTGGTACAAGATAGATCACTAAATCCCGCAGGATCCTTTATTTATTTTTAAATAAATGTTATTTATAAAAATTTTGCTTGAAGGGGTGGGCATTTTTAAGTGACTCGTATGACAATGAGAAGTTTTTTTTACTTAATGAGTTTAACGTGCTGAAAGGGTAACTTTTTTATTATTTTCATAATTAGAAAGAAGAGTTAGCTTTTATAAGTGATGTGTGGGAAGACAGATCATCAAATGTCTATAATTGTCAAATAATGAGTGGTGCAGATTAAATAGGACAATATTAAATTTCTTTGTAAATCATTCGGATTCATTTTCGCAAAGTCATTCTATGGAGAATCTTTTGTACTTCACTTCTACGATCACTTCAACACTTCTAGCACTATCATTCATAAAAGAAAAGCTGAGAACTAAAACCTATTGATATTTTTTCTACGCATATCGAAGAAAGCATATTTTCCAAACCGAAACTTAGTCTATGGAGTAATTATTCTTTCGCATTGTCAGATGTAGAATTGAATTTTGCATAAATTATCGTAACTGATAAGTTGAAGAATACAAATCATAAATTGTATCGAAATTTGGAAAAAAAGAACAATAATGTAATTCTATCAGATCGAGTTCTTTTGAAAATCTATCTGTCATAGAAAAAAATTATTTGACAACCAAACGAAACAGTTTCGTTCGTAGAACGAAAAATTAAGTATTCAAAATAAAAAAAGAAGAAAATCAAGTTTCTCTGTTTAATCTGCACCATCTGTAAGATGCTTAGCGATTTGCTCTACGTTATACATGAATAAGAACATTTTTAAAAGATATCATATCTTTGAATAACAAGATAGACAAAACCAAAAGAATGTCTTGGTCTGAAACTCTAACATATTCGATTGAAAATAAACAATAATATATTATAATATTCATACTTTTGTTGATCAAAGCTGATTGTATGTAGTTTTACTAAATTGATGTCTCAAACAAAAATTACATCTTAAAAAATGATGTCGATCGCTTTTGTTTTTCTTAGCCGGATACAGATATAAGATTTTGTCTTATTTTTTAATTTTGATAATTTATTTAATCAGTAAAATACTATATACAAATATATACATTTATGCATGACTCAATGAATGAGGATGATTATTTTCTGTTCCATCATTGGATGATGATGTTATTGAAATTTCTGTAAGTTCAGCAATACAATGTTGTTCATCATCAAATTGACGTTTGGGATTAATACGATTATTTCGTACTAATGAATATATATTTGTTGAACATTTATTATTTGATTTTATATTTGAATTTATTGTATCATTGATGTTGTTTGTATTTGTACGATTTTTTTGTTTTTGATCAATATAATCAGAAATTGTTTTACGAAATAAAGCAATGATATTTTCTGATGTGGATGGTTTTGTTTGAGCACGTATATGACGTCGAAATTGATTGATTATTAATGTACAATCTTCAGGTAATACATTAAGTATTAATTCACTTAATTCCATTTTAATTATATCAGGTAAATGATATAATTCATTTGTCGATTGTAATAAATTAGTACTTGGTGTTAACCATGAATAATCTACAGATGAATGTCGTTTTGTTGGTATGACATTAAGTGATGAATTATGTGTAGACAAAAATGATCCAGTTATTGAACTACTTACAATATCCGAATCTCGTTTATTTTGTAATGATCCTAATGCTAAAGAATTTCGACATTGATTTTCTAATTCTTCTAATAAAGTTTCAGCAATAGAATTTCCATCCATATATGCATAACTAGGTGCTTGTATATCATTTGAAGTTGAATAACGACGAAATAAATTACTAAATGCCATTAAAAGAAGTTTGATAATCTTCTAGAAGAGATAGAAAAGGAAAAACAAGTCATTTTTCAAATCATAAAATATGTCTTTTGCTCTTTGTAGTATCTTTTTCTTGGTATGAGTGAATGAAGACATAGAATATTCAAGTATAATTTATAATAAAAAAAAAAAATTACAGAAAGTCATAGAAAGAAATTACGGATGTAGAAAGATAACGTGAACAAGTATAAATAGCCCATCTTTTTTTCTTTTTCTTCGTAAGATTTCTTTCTTATATATTTTTTTCTTTTTTGAATTCTTTATAATAACACTAAACTCTGCATTATGACGAAGAAAAAAAAAGATTACTATGTCGACGACAGGAATGTTTTGAAAAGAAAAAAGAAAGAAGAGAGCAAGAGAGGAAAACTTCTTCCATATGTCAAATAAAAATCCTATTAAAGAAAAAAGAAACAAATTTATTTAGACAAACTCGATATTATCGTGATAAAATCATATTATGACAAATATATATTTCTGCTTTTTTGTCTTTTATATGAATCTTTCCGAATGAAACTATTTTTAAAATAAAAATCATATGAATATGATACTTCTCTATAGAACTGAAGACTTTCATTTCATAATTCTTCTTTTTTCGTCATCAACAACTAGATTATCATTAATGAGATCATCCGGTTCTTTTTTTTTCTTCGATTTTCTATGAAAAGTGTATGTCTAGTCTTAAGACATCGTCCCTTTTTCTTTAATTTATTAAAATATATTCATGTCAATCATGACCTAGGATCATCGTGCTTATCTTTTTCTGAAATATATATGATTAACGAAAATAAGATCAAATGAGACAATTAGAAACTAATTCATTCTTTTAAAAATTAAAAGTTCGAAAACAAAAAAAAAGAAGAAATTCTATGAAAAATAAAATTTATCAAAAATTTATTTTTCTGTGTAAAATTATCCGTTAAACATCTGGCTACAAGAGAGCATCTCGTTTGGAAAGAATGATACGCCAGGTATAATAGAAGACTTCGGTAGCTAATTAGTTTCTTCGAAATTGGAACTTCAAACAGTATATTTACATAAAGATATATCTAGTTTTGCAAGTTTCTGAGCTGACGAAGAAACTTCTCTCAACTGATTAATTGCTTTTGAGTCAGGAGAGTGTAAATCATGTTAATCCCTAATGAGTTATGAATACTCTGAAAAGCATTTATGATGTTAGCTTATTCCTGCTAACGAGAGAACCTCTCAAGGTATCAAATCGCTTGTCGACTGAGACAATGTTCATTTGGTGAATGCTAGACATTAATAGAAAAATCTAGAATAGTTTAGTTTTTCGACAGAAAGCTGTAGTTTCTCTCAGGCCATAAGAATAATTGATTTTTGAGACTATAACTTTTTGTTGAAACACCCAATAAAACTTCGATGTTTCGAGAACGAGAGTCCAAAAATTAAAATATTTTAGATCCTTCTAGTAATGTCTAGCACTCATCAACGTAAAATCGTCTCATTCGAAAAGCGATTTGACATCAAGAGAAGTTTCTTCGTGCAATATTATATTTTTAAGGTATTTTTCAGCCTGATGTCTCAGTCGTCTTAGGTGCACCGAAAAAGCTGATGTTTAAAATTTAGCTTTGAAACTTTGAATCGAGATAAGCCTTAAACAGAATAGTTTATTGTAAAAGATTTTCATCCTTTGATTGACTACTGTTCTTAAATAAAGACATCGAAATCTATCAGTTTATATGAACGACGTAAACGACACGCGTTTAGTATAGTTTTATCTTAAAATATGAACGACGAAAACTGCACAAAATTTCAAGTCAAAATTCGAAAATTAGTTTCTTCGATTTTTCTAAAGGGGATAACAGCATGATACTAACGAATAACGTAAAAATGCGGTATCTTAGCAACAATGATCCATCAGCGAAAGTGCTTCTCAAAATATTAATAATTCATCAGGACCAATATAGAACATACTTTTTTGACTCGAAAGTGATTAATTGTTTGGAGCACTTTTATCGTGTGAATCTTCAAAGACTACAGTCAATATTATTTTTAGGCTTTTGAAATTCTAAAAGAAGTTCTTCGAAAATTGTTTTGATTACCTTGAAAATCTTTTTTTTTTTATTAAAAAATTTCAAGTAGATAATAAATAATAGAAGATCTTGTTTCCGAAAAATTTTGCACGTTTGTACATCAAAGAACATTCATGGTTTTCTATTCCCAAAATGAGTTTAGAGTTTTCCATTTAACATAGGATTTTCTAATCAATTTGAATAGTATCGAGCTCTTTTTTTTGTAATGAAAGAAAGAATCTATGGACTTGAACTTCCATTGATTTATATTCGTTTTTGTAATAAATGTATTTATATAAGATAGTAACCTATATTTCAATCAAACTTTTTATTCTATGACCTATGTAATCTATTCGATTCACTGACTACGATATTAAAGACTAATTATATATCATGTAAAAATGGAAAGTTTTTTATTCAGTTCGTTAAGTTTCATCATCAGATAAAAGCGTAGGTTTGACTTTCTACTCAAACAGTAGTTTTTAAGGACTATTTTTTGAATCAATTAGTTTAAGCAGCGAAAAACATAGAGGACACTTCTTTGCAAATTGCAATCATAATGAAATAGACTATTTTAAGATACATACTAAGTAGGCATTAGCTTGATTTAATGTATGTATTATTCTAAAAATAAATGAATGACGTCCTCTTACAATAATATAAAAGATAGGTGCTAACAAAACAACAATGTTTTCAAAATATAAAACCTTAAGCAAAATTTCACCGTTTATTATTGACATGTCTTTGAAATTAAAACTTTTCATTTTCTGTTTTTGTTAATTAAAATTTTAGTCGAATCATACAAAGTAGCGAGTAATCCATAGAATTAGTTGTAAATAAATCCTGTCGGATCTGAATTGAGCATGAAAGACAATGCATCCTATGAGATTGACGCATCAGAAGTATTTACTGTATTGATATGTTCGATAATTTAATGTTAAAGATTAAATGTTCTTAGCTCGTCAAAAAAAAAACATAGTTCTTGTTTTTTATCAAGTCCAATATCTTAATTAGACGTTTGACTTACAGAAAGCTGTCAGTTTCAGTGAACTCTCTTGAACTAGAATACGATATATGTAGGTTTTTAGAGCAATTTCCGATGCATCGAATGATTTATAGGAAAATAAGTTTTCCTCTAATTTTCATGTGCTAAAGATATATATATACTGGTTATAATCCTTGAGGAATGTATTTCGATATAATTATAGATGCTCTTCAATTTTCAATAATCAATAGTTTTCAATATTGCTTTCGTCATACTTAAAAATGTTTCCTTTTCTTGGATGTAGATTATTTCTTGACTAAATGATATTCCAGTATGTTCTACTCTTCGCTATAAAACAAATGAACATCAACGTGAAACTTTCTCAAAAATTGCACTCTATCAAGGTTTGAGAGTTTCATAGATAATATCTTTTGAAACAGCAGGACTTATTGCCACACAATATTGTTGATGAATTGATACAAATAACTTTCTTTTTTCAACGGGAAAAATATTTTTGATCTTCGAATCGTTAGAGAAGGATACGTGAATATGGAAGAATTTATGTGCGAAATAAATACAAGATTTTTAACGATTGTTCTAGAGAATTTCATGCATAAATCAGACTCGATTACTCTGAATAAATATTTGTAAAAGAAATAATAATAATAACAACAGACTCCTTTTCTCCAACCATATTTCAGTACCGTTCTCCAAGGTGCCAGAAGCCAAACATTGTTTTTCGTTTATAAATGTGATATTTATATCAGTTCATTATTGATGGTACGCTGATTATCGATACAAAAAATATTTTTAATAGAATGATATCGTCAATATATCAACCATTTTATATAGTAAAATAGATCATGCTAGGGGACATTCTGCCAAGTTAACAATGAATCTTTACTGTTTCGAAAGATGCTATCTATGAGATATATAAAACTCAACAGTGTACAATTCTTGAGATAGAATCACGTTGGTATTCACTTGTTCTATGGAACAGAGTTGAACATACTGAAATATCATTTAGACGCAAAATAACTTAGAACTCAGGAAAACGAAATATTTTTCAGTATGAAGAAAGTAGTGATGGAAACTCTTGATTATAGAGAATTGACGAGTACCTGTAACTCTATCGAAATGAGTTTAAAAGAACAAAACATATATAAGTTTATCTTGGAAAACAGAATGTTTGTGCGAACCGTATATATTCTTCAAAGATTATAACAAGTGTATATGTCTTCAATGCATAAAAATGTGAGGAAAACTTGTTTTCTTCTTTGCCATTAGATGTACCGCAAATTGCTCTACATAACCACATATATCGTATCCTTGTTTTAGCCAGATCAAAAAATCCGACAGCTTCCTTTATTCACTTAATTAAACAAAGAAACAAAGTTTTAATAAACTACTGAAATGAATAGTGTTAATGAGGTCGGTATTTTAGATAATTTTCCAACATTATTTTATTTCTACTCATAAACTCTTTGATCTTCAACAATTTTTTTTACTAAAATTACTCATGAATTAGTAATTTTTGTGTAAAAATATCTACGTTTATTTATTTCCAATCTTGAAAGCTTCTACAACTATGTATTTATTTATAAAAAAAAACAAAATTTTTACAATAGACTATTTTCATTATCAGATTATTATTTTATTTAAATAGAAATACAAGTGTCAAATATAAATATGTATTCATAGAGTATATTTCCAAATAAGAGACATATAATGTAGGTGTTAACAGGAAATTGATCCCATCAACGTACATTTGGCAGTAATCAAAATGTAATCATTATCTTTTCGTTGATCGAAATGTCAACAAAAAGAAAAATCTTATTTTCGAAAATAGAATAGGATCAACTATGATAAAGAAAAACAAAACAAAATTTAAAAAAAAAGAAGAGAATTATCAAGCTATCAATCAAATCAATATTTGACTTAGCCTTATTTTC